TTTCTAGCCCCCGCATATTACTGCATATCTTGTAATACCACTAAAAGTGATATCTCTGTAGAAAGATCCTAAATAAATCTTACCAGACAGCACTTCCTCACAGACCAGACCGGCGTCGCACTGGTGTTGACGGTTGCAGATTTCGCCCAGCTTACGGCCTACAAACGCAGGCAGGCAGCGACCTCCCTCCTCTGTACAAAATTTATAGGATCAAGATTGTTTAAACCAATTAGAATAAAGTCGCCATACATTTGATATGCTAAGACCTAACACGAATTTTTTCCGAGAATTTATAAATAAGTGGATTCGTATTCACATAAAATAATACCAAATAATAGTTAAAATGGACACAAAACATAACTATTACTATAAATAAATCGAAATACATCAAGTAATGTCTATTTTAGTGTGAACGAAAGTGGGTATAGTTGTTTTGTTCGCCTTAAAATTCGAGTTAAAACATCGTTAAAACTGTTACACTCGCTCACTTTACGTATAGTACGTGGGACACGAAAGGACGTGAGACAAAAATAACTCACGACTTCATAATGAAAGTACCGTGAAATGTTGTATGAATAAAATAACAGTCTTTACCTGCCCCTGAAAATGTGGTATACATTTTTACGATTTATTTGAACGTAAATAAGGAAAAGGATTTCGACATTTCAAGACATATTAGGTTTAATATTTAATAATGATATTTAATTCCAAATTCATTGCTATATTCATCTTTAAAAGTAGTTATTAAGTAAGGTGAAAAACCGTTACTTAATTTGCTAACCTAAAAATTACCGGTAAGATTTTAATCACATTGCAGTCTGAAAGGGTGTAGCAAAGGAAAATAAACGAAAGATACAGAAAAAATCTAGTGACAATTTTTATTTTTATCATCGACTATTACGTAATAAATTTAACATTTATCCACAAGTAAAATAAAATAAATTCTCTACCTATTATTGAGTTACATGTCTTAGTTATTAACACAAAGGTAAAAGTAATAAAGTAGCTTAATGAAACAAATGAAAGAGACGAATAACCTTAATCTTTTTTATTCGAGCTACATGATAACCGTCCATTAAATAAAATGCTTCGGGCTGTAATGCTACGCCGTAGTAATTGACTACACCCGTGAGGTTAATTAACTAGGGAATTGGTAACATGAGGTTGTCAGAATAAACTCGATCATTTATGAAACAAAGGGAATGTTTTTAAGGATGTTACATGAAATTAGAATCTTTATGTATTCATTAACAGGGGTAGTGGAAAAAACTTCGAAAGCAAACATATCAAAAATTCAATTCGTATGTCGGACAGAAAAAAAATATACTCGCAAATGAAAATAAAAAACATACTATATTCTGCTGAAAATGGCTCTTTGAAAGAAGAATAATGAAAAGCTTTGACAAGCTGCCGACGCGGCCTATTCATCCCCTACTATAGGTTCTCGGAAAACTTTTAATTAAACTGAAATTGTGAAAATGTTTACAAAAGTTTTAATGTAGTTCTATACAAAGCCTTAAACAAAGCTTCAAAATTGAAAGTTGAAATATTTCTGTTAAATATCACTACAACATTGTCTATTTACAAATATTAAACGCTTTGTTTTTTCAAGTTTTTTCACCAAATATAAGTCTTTTTTAATTGTATGAACATAAATTATAAATAAATTATTATGTTGTCTCATACACACTAGATTTTTTAGAAATACTGGAAAATATCTTGAACTAAGTAACTCCAATAAAGTCTTTGAATTATCAATAATATTAATATATCATTAAGTACCACTCGAATGTATAGCCTATTTATAGATTTATTTTATTATTATAGTTACTATGTGGTAAAGTTGTGGATGGCACATCTAATCAACACTTTTGAATTGTACTGTATATTTTTTTTCTTGTGCTATTGTTCTTTTAACCAAATAAAAGAAAAAAAAGTCAATTAGACTCTGGTTTGAAAATACGAGAAACAAAAAATGTGAGAGTTCATTAAAGCTCATCTATCAAATGCGAGAACGAATTCTGTTGATTTGCAAATGTTGAAAAGCAATCTTGTTTGAGTAGATTGAATTATGTTTCGACATTTTCACCAAGCTTCATTAGAGAGAAACGTCTTTCTAAGATAATCAAGATTCTCGGAAGTTGTAAGCCGACGAATTACATCTTGCGTAGCTTATTTAATTTGTTTAAACTTGAAAAAACTGAAATTTATATTAAACATATTTCCTAAAATCTAAAAACATTTGGTCTTCAAATACAACCACAACTAAAAACAAACAAAACGCTATCTGGATTTTTAATATACGTGAGTTTAAGTCGAGTTTCGATAGTAGCGGTGGCATGAAACAGGTTACACTCCCGCGAGTGGGTTTTCAAGCCTCTCTTGAAAGCCTAGTGCATAAATTTTATGGCACTTTATTTTAAAAGAGAAAATGGCAAGCCCTGTTGAGTGCTCACTGAAGGCAATTTTGCATTTATTTATGAAGCATATCCTCCGACTTGAGCTATATAAAGCCTTTTTGGTGTGTTGTTTTGAAAGGGTGAATATTTTTACTTGATACCATCTAAGCTGTGTTCATACGCATTTTTTTCGTGTTTTAGTATTGAAGTCAAAGCATTGGATTTTATAAAGCTTCTTTTTATATTAACGCAGAAATGTAAATGTCGACTTTGGTGTAAAATCAGATAGTCATTTGTTTCTTATTTTCATTCTGTTCCAATAATCCTTTCCTTCTTCGACATCAGAGATTCCAAACAGCTTTTCATCTTAATTTTGTAAAAATTTATATTTATTTTCCATACACCTTCGCTGTATCTTTCATGGGTATCAGGGGATGCTGGCTTTGGGATTGTTCTACACTTACCAGTGTCCTGGCAGAGTAACCCTTGGCAGCAGTCAGCGTTGGTGGCGCAGGGGAAGCTGTAGCAGTGCGCAGTCGGTTCCTCTTCCTCAGGGCTCTCCCCCTCCAGGATATCAGTGTAGATGTTGTCTGGTTCCATCTGGAAATTATCTTACTGTTAATACGTCGTTAGTTGAAATCGACTTTGAGTGGCAGGCACTCGAACTATTTTATCCCCTACTATTTGTCCCCGGAAGGATTTTTTTTGCCGGGTAAAAATAGCTATTTTAATTAAGTTATTTATTTTCTAAATAAAAAATCACTTTACTTTTAATAAAGTAGTGCAATTTAATAAAGTTCCTGCTAGCAGTTATTCCGGCATAAAGGGCATTTCACAGTTCAACGGATTTTAAATGACCTTTCGTTGTTCACCTTTGACACGTGAGGTAAAAATAGACAGGGGAGAATACAGCAAAAAATACATAGTATGAAGCGATGACCAAATAACATCCTTTAAGATTAATTAAAAAAAAAAACAAATGAATAGATAAACATTATAAAAAGTTTTGGTGGCCTTTGTCTTTTAACCTATAGAAGCTTACCTGAGTATGCGGGTACTGGCGGTAGGGGGTCTGGCCATGCTGAATGTTGGCCAGCATGTCCGCACTGAAGCGGTTGAAGAGGCCACCCCAGGCGTTGGCCGTGGCCAAGTAGCCGATGGCCACAAGCGCGACAAGTATCATATTAGTGCTAAAACAAAAATGTCATGTCAATTTTTTCGGAGACAAATGAAAAACACGTACTCAATTTCAAACTTTATGTATCAAAAAATCTTGAGTGTAAATAATTTATTAAAACTGAACTAATTTGATTAAAATAATAGGAAAGTCACGTTACGTTTTAATTAACTAACGTAATGAATTGTCTAAAGCTCTGAAGGAATTTTGAGAAAATCTAATTAATTACGTGAGGGGAGAACGTAGGTGGCGTAATAGTGCGTAAATTACATTTTACTCGGAATTAATTTTTCCATTTCAATAGAATTTTCAATGAAAAGTTATTACGATACAAAATAATAAAAATGTATTCAATCTAACAAAAACTTACAATTTCACTCTATCCTCAAAATAAAACTAAATGACAGATAAAATTTAGAACTAGGAGTATTTAAAAAAAATGAATTACTTAAATAATCTTTGAATTTCAATAAAACTTTTCCCTTTGCTCATTAAAGTAACTTATAATTAAGAGAACTATTTTCAATAAGTTACCAAAAAAATAGGTCACAAATAAATAGAAATAAAAATTAATAGCAAAGTTTTCGATAATAATCTTTCTTTCAGTTGTTTTTGAAAATGGAATATATCATCGGATGTCGGAGTTTCTACTCACCGTTGCATGGTCCGTCTCCGCTGACGTCTCCTGGTAGACTGGTGGATCTATAAGTTGAGCTTTATTGCGCAGGGTCCGAGGGGAGGCGCATATACAGGGTGTAGCGGGAGCGGAATCTAAAGGTGGAAGGTGAAATTATATAAGGGGTGCTAACTTTTTACTTAAGAGAGCCTTAGCACTTTCATTAAACGAGATTTATTCTCTACTATATTGGGTAAATAAGAAGGTTCTTTATTTAAGGGTTTCTTTTAGAAAGATAATGTAATAATGAATTGCTTTTACGTTTACTTACAATTATTGTTAGCAGCTAATTACATCAAAGTGTTTTTGTATTTATACTAGACTAACTTTCGCCTGCGACTCCGTCCGCATTAAAAAACAAAAGTAAGTTGCCTATGTGTTCTATCAGATATGCTATACATCTATGCTAAATTTCATTGCGTTCCGTTCAGCCGTTTAGGCTACAAAATCTAATAAACATTCATCCATCGATCTTAACCTTTACATTTATAATATTATTAAGTAAGATTTAATTTCGTTTGTCACCACCCTTAATTAACTTGAGTAACGTAGCATTCAATTACAGAAAGCTTTTAAAATTGTTTAAGGTGTTATTAAAATTTGCGCTACTTTATACTGATAAGGTTTAAAGATAAAAATTTCACGTTATTTGTATGACTGCGGGATTCCATTTGACCAAACCCTAATAGTTTGGAACACGAAAATTTAGAAAATAGATAAATTGGAATTAATAAATTATAAAAGTTTTTAAATTAAAATGAACATTAATTAAACATCGTATTTTATCTTCATTTTCAGGGAAGATAACATGTTATTATACATGTTTCGGAAGTGAAAACGTATAAACCCCGAGTAACACTATAATATACCTTTCAACATGAATGAGTGTACTTCCATTACCTCCCCCTCCCCGTCCTTTCACACCTAAAAGACCTTTTTATGTTTTCATTGACACTTTATGTAGTGGCCCTTTTTGCTGCTTTGTATTTAGTTTACTACCTTTTGTTGAAGTTATTTTTAGAATTCCCACGAACATTACTTTCTTTGCAGAACACGTCTAGTTTACTTGCTTTGCTATTATTCATCCATATGTATTAAAAATTCATAACACAACTGTGTAATACCTAAAATATCACACTTTAAATGAAAAACACAAATGAATAGAAGAAATCGATAATTTAAGTATTTATTAAATAAAACGTAACACTTATAACAAACATTAACTGCAAGTTAAATTACTTATTTCTAACCTATCTTTAAAGTAACAAGTTAAGCAAGGCTTGTACGACCATAACAACCAACTGCAGTAAACCTGGTAGCAAAGCGCCGCCGATCCCCACAAGAACATCGTCCGCCAGGTCTGTGATCGCTCCGACCAGGGTTGTAAGAAGCCCCTGCATATTCGCCACCCCCGTACTAGGGGTGTCAGGGTTGGCACCGATTGCATATTCAGGTAGAGATCTCAAGAAATTAACTATAGCTAGAGCTTGCGAGTAAAGTTTGAGTAAGGATGTCTCTAATGCCCCTAAGTCGACTGGTATCAGACAACTTATAGATGGTGGTAGAGTATCAAAGATTGAGAGTAGAGATAGTAAGAGATTGTATACGTTGTTTAACAATGGTAGGAGAACGTTGACTAACGGATAAACAGCAGGGAGTTGGACGTTTGTTGCTGAGACAGGCTGGAATGAAAAAAAATATTTTTGAATTTCGAACATGCAATTTCAAATAATCGTAACAGAAGTCAAAATTAATTAAATGGAATAATTTATAACTTAAGGTAAATAATAAGTGAATAACGAATTTTCGATTACATTTTTACATTTCTCCTTGGCATATTAACTCACCGTTAAAACAAAAACAGCTACAGTACAAACAAAAATGAATCTAAATTTATTCATTATTGTAATAATATATTTACCGAAAACAAAATATACGTCGAAACCTTACATTAGTTCTGCGTTAGTTATTATTATACCTAACTTTATATTATATTTTGTTACTAAATTTTAAACACATTCCTGAATAAAATAAATATTGTAATTAAAGATAATTATTATCGTAATTGACTAGAGGTTATCAGGTTTGTAATAATTTATGTCACTGTAAATATTACAATATTAGATAATACACCTGTAATCGACTATCAATTGAAATCGAATATTTTTTTTCAATTAAACGGTATTGCTCACTAAAACCCGTTGAATTAAACACCTCTTCCTTTTTTATGTCGGTAAAATTTTCACCGAGTAAATCAATAAAGATATAAGATAATATAACATACTTCCATATTGATTAGACAATGTACGAACAAACTGAAATGAAGAAAATTTTCATCTTGACGTAAAAGAACACAAAATCTTATAACACATAAATGCGTATCGGATTTATTCCTTTTTATAAACCTTTACCATAGATCACATTTATTAGTAGATTTTTAATCTGTGCAAGTGCACATGAAATAACGGGTAACATTAAATAAAAAATAAATGTCGATTATGCTATGTGCGACTTGTCTTGCGTACTTGTCCATTTAGATGTGCTAAAGCTCACAAGATTAAATTCATCTCAGAAACAAAAGAATCCACACTCAAAGAAGTAATGAGGAGACAGTTTAGATGGATGGATAGATAGATGGATGTTTGTAGCCTAAACGGCTGAACGGATTTCGATGAAATTTGGTATAAATGTGGAGGATGGTCTGGAAGAACGCATAGGCTACTCCCTTTTGTTTTTTTTAATTCCACGCGGACAGAGTCGCGGGCGAAAGCTAGTTAGTTATAATGACCTTATAGCTAACAATAAATTTGTTTTCTATTCATATTACACAAAAATAGTTTATCGGTACATTAGATAGACCATTACGATGAAACTAAAATTATGTAATAAGAATTTTTACATAGTATACGATAACATATCGTTTATATAAACTAAAAATTATTTTTATTCGACAAAACGTATTTGTGTTTGGAATAGAGAATATTTATTTTTATAAAATGAAAATTCGATTAATAATTTTATCGATTTTTATTGCGGCGTTGGTTAGTATTTAAAAATATTTTTATTATCACATCTAAGATATCCCAATTGTTCCTACTAAAGAGATGATGTTATTTTCAATTGAAATTACGAGATAATTGTAGGTTTTTGCACAATCTTTTTATTGCATAGCTGTGTGGTTCTTTGCGACCCTTTGCTTCTTAATCAATTGCTCTCATTTCAGTCTGTTCTTGGTCATTGTTCTCCAATTTATTACGTCAATATCACTTGCTTTACCAAATTCATCGCCCCAACTAAGAAAGACGACGAAGTTAGTTCTATCATCCACTTGCCCTTATCCCTTACGGAGGTTCGGACAGTATGTGCTGCTCTTCCATACATCTCTATCAGCCGTCATATCTGAATCCACTCCTTTCTTAAGCATATCCTCTTTCACACAATCCATCCATACTTTCTTCAGTCTTCCTCTTCCTTTGTATGGCTACAATCCACATTCAATCTTAACACTTTCTGGTTTATGTCCCCATCATTTAGTTAGTTCTATATTTGGCCTTAATTTCACGATGTTTTTATTTCCAGATAAATAGCAGCGAAGCAATGATCCCAGCATATTCAGTATCAGCGTTACGTCTAGCGTTTGATGAGATATCGACAGTATTACCAGTGGCCAATCAACTCGCCTGTCTTCTTGTACCTTTCCTAATAAACTTGATTAATAATTTGAATAATCTGTCAAACATTGTACAGAATCTAACACCAGCTATACTGCCATACTTTGGTTGTACTCTACCACTTTTGTACGCGACATTAACAGATTTAGCATCTGTTTTGTTTTTATATATTAGTGTGTTAATATCTCTGTTCAGATCTAACGTATTAGCAGCTCCAGGGTTACTATTAGGTCTTGTTTCACAAGTATTAAATTTAGTTCTAAGTCTCCTAACTGGACTTTCAGACGGCACTGGCTTGTTAACTGGTTTGATTAAACTAATTACAAGCGTTATCGTAGAGTTGGAGAAACTTCTAATTTAAGTTAAGGGTTTGAATGTAATTTAATTTTGATGTTACTTTAAGTTGTAGTTGAGTAAATTGTAAGATGTTTTGAGTTTTAGAATTTTAAATTATTTCATGAATTAATAAAATGTTATGTTGTAAATGGCATTCTTTTTACAGTAAAATATCTAAAATAATTGTGTGAATTTTTAGAAATTTTAAGAATTTTTCGCTACATTTCTTTTTATTACTTTTTCATTTTTTTCTTTTGTTGAAGTATAAATCATACACATAAAGTCCAAAGTACAAATGCGTCAAAGTAAAGAGATAAAAGTGGCGGAAACATTATTCATGTGCAAGTTTTATTGCAAAGTACCAACCATTACGATGTAATGGTCCGTTACTTGAAGAAAATTTCTCTCTGTCTTTTCTTATATCGACTTACTTAGACGGGAAAATTATCCCATTGGATGTCTTTATAAGACATAGTTATCCTATTAAAGCAAAAATGTGAAAGTCAAATTAAATACAAATAAAAACAATCGACGTTAAATATTTATGAATTAAAAAAAAAATCTCGCAAAATCCATTCTTAGTAAAAAAAAAAATTATCACAAAAATCGTGATTAATCGTGATTAAAAACCATCTCATTGGAATCGTAAATTATAAAACATTGCAATATATAAAATAGTCACGTAGTCAAGTGTAAGGTTTTCAAGCACATTGTCCAATTGCGTTTTTGTTTGATTCATGTACAAAATTATTATAATTGATTAGTGATGTTACACAATGTGCGAAAGAAGTTCTATTTTAAATGTTTGTTTTTTAATTGCGCTGGTAAGCAAAATTTATTTATTTCCTATAACATTTTTATTACGTAATCCAATACTTTGCAATCTTATTAATCTGCTGATTGTTCCATTGGGTTATTAATAGTGATTAGAGAACAATAATTTACATCGATTTAGTTAACCTTAGTATATAAAATGCCACCATTTTTTAAATAAAAATGTCTAGC